GGCCCCCCCCCCAACACTTCGTGAAATACACACCGGGAAACCTATGTGAGGCGGGCGGGACAGAGCTCTTGCGACCCCGACCACCATCAGACTGGATACCAGGCTAAACCTATCAATGAGAACCGTCTATATTTTGCGCGGCATGTGTAAAAGTCGGGTCCAATTTCTTTATGGATTTCCGCCAGGCATGAAATTTTGACCTTTCCTTGAAGAGGTTTTGTGACAGCTTGTGTCAGTCCTTGCGTGGACAGACTTGTTGATCATATAGTGATTGGAAAATATGCATTTCTTCATTTGTTGTCTATCGGCACACCCCCGGTCAGTCAAGTGTAATGGTCTGACCTTAATTCGATCCTTTAACTCGATTGACCCATTAACCTTGATTGACATTTGCTCAGGTGATCATGACGGTTTGGTAAAAATGTGAACAATGTACGATTCATTGGCCGCAAAATACGCCATGGGGCAAGTTTTGAAAACGCTTTTTGTAGGCACAAGGAGGTTGTATGGAGACTCCTTGGTAGACAGTTGACGTAACAATCTACCGTTTGATAGTCGGGTGAGTTTTTGAAATCTTTTGAACTTTAGACAGACGCGACAATATGGTGTTACCATGTTTTTGTGTACGGATAGGCGGCGTTCGCGCATACTACAAATTTGGCAGACATCGTACGTGAGATATTGGCATGGCCAAAGTACGATCTTCTCTTCTTTATGAACACGTGTGCTTGTTTTAACACGTGTGTTTGTTTTTATTGTTTACCAGTCCTGTCGTTATTTTCCAAGTTGTTCTCTTTGTGTTGTCTGATTTCCCCCTAGGCCCTAAATGCAAATCAGCACATGTAACGCGATGCTTTCCTTTGTGCTGTCATCAAGTAAGCTACCGTACGGCCGGTTCTGTCCATCCACCCAGTCCCCATGTAAACCCCGGCCCTGACTGCTCTGTTTCTGTCAGTACTGACTCTACAGCCGTGAGGATCTGTGTCGTCGTGAAAACATCGTGCAGTACTTTGGAGCAGCTGTGCATTTTGGCAAGTGTTGACTATGATTTTGTTTTCTCCTTTTTTTTTTCATTCATACCTACTGCTACGACGTGACACCTTATTGTGTGTTACATTGTAAAACTGACCGCGAAGAATCTTTTTATTGATCTATTTCGGCTTACAGAGAAGAATCTTAAACCTTATTTATGATTATCTTTTGACTTACTTGCCTATATGCCTATTCAGGAGAATTCAATGAAATAGATCTTTAAATTTCACAAATTCGGCCCTTCTCAATCAACAGGTTTATAAACTAGATTGAAGATTATGCAAGTAAGTGAAGACATTTTTTTTCATAATTTAATAGGAAACTAGAGTTCCACGATCTCATACCTTCGCCAAATGATGTTAGCCTTTATGAGTAAGAAATTATAGATTAATCCCCCTGATTGTGCAAATAGGATCCTATATTTGCATCAATTATATCTGTTGATCATATTCTACACCAGAAGACAGTCTTATCTTATCAAAGAATGCCATTATAGTATTTCCTCATAAATTATGCAAATGAGGTCCTCATTTGAATAAGTTATGTTTAATTATGTTCACCTTCACATAACTTTCAAATATCCCAAGTATGACATTCCAGGCAGTTACCACTATGTAAATATAACATTTTCTCATTAATTATGCAAATTTAGTCTTCATTTGCATAATCGATATCTGCCTGTATTTCTGCCGTTCTTAATTACATATGTCACAAGCTTGAATAGTCCTATCAGGGAATGCAGATGATTTATAGAATTTCCTCATTAATTATGCAAATTACATTAATATATGCATAATTATAATATTATTATGTTAAGCATCACCTCAGCTACCTACATGCCAAAATCACGACGATCCATCAATCGGTTCTAGAGTTATCCGCCTTTAAATATTTTTCAACTAACGCCCCTGCAGTTCCAGAGCAAGCCGCTAGGGAGGCCAAACTCACATCACTTCTTCCCCAGCACAAGAGCTACCTACCATCCAAATTTCGTCACCCTAGCATGTCTAGATCACGAGATATCAAAACCGGAAGTTCAGCTGCAGTACCATTACAAGCCGCTAGGGGGTCTAAAATCTAATCAGTTCCACGTCTCATGAAGACCTATCCACCTACCAAATATCAAGACAATCCATTTTATCCTTCTTGAGTTATCGTGCTGACACACACACACACACACACACACACACACAGACACACGAACGCCTACGAAAACATAACCTTCTTAGCGAATGTAACAAAAGTTAGACAAAGTCAAGACAAGATTGATACAAATTGAACAAGCTCCTGTTGTTGTCGAACAGTGTTGTTTATCCCCGGGGCCGCGAGCATTTTTTTGGGCTAATCTTTGTATCGTAAGGCCATGTTGATTTGATTATATGGATGACATCCGCGCGCGCATGAAAATTTTCGGCCGTTAAAAAAGGGTTTCAACCCGGTAAATCGTACAAAACAGTTGCAAAATGAGGAAATAGACTATATACCGTAAGTTGAAAAAAAATGTTGGAAACGATACCAATGTCGTAGAATGACAAAATCAAACGAAACAGACGGAAATGTAAAGAGATGAATTTGAAGAGTAGATTATTCGCCATACAGTGTCATTTATTTGTTCAACCTTCATAACCACGTATATTTCATAATGAAAGCAACTTTTTTGCCAAACTTTTTTTTATTCGCACGCTCGCATCAGTTTTTGGGTTCCCAGATGATGTCATCCATATAATCACTTCAACATGGCCTAATCAAGTCAAACCCACCGGACCGGTCACTACTAGTACTAGTAAATCAACGCTCCATTGACTTCCTTGCTTCAGCCATTCCTGAACCAGGCACGGTGCAGGCCTTTGGTATAAATATCTCTGTAAGTACTGATCATGATCATGAATTTATCCCGTATCTCCCGCGCGTAATCCGGAAGTTACTTGGCGCGTGGCAGTTACGTTGAAAGAGGTCAAGTCGTTACGCATTACTAAGTATATGTGTGTGATTACATCATTCTTTGCGGCTGGATTTTCGCAAAATGGCGGCTGTCGTCAGCCGGCTTCCCCTTTGTGGTTTTTGGTGTCTTTCCCGGTTTAAGCCGCAAAATATCCGGATTTACGCTGAAATACGTGCGTAGGTACCTTGATACTATTAATTCTAGGGGAATTTATTCTTCCTTCGGCGAGGATTCTCCAGAAAGTAGCAACGTTGTGGGGAGCTCATGGTCCCGATGAGAATTTTGTACATACTAGTTACTACGTAGGAGTTGGGGAACTTGGCATCGGTCGCGGAGTTGACAGTGGTCCGCGGTTTCAAACGAGGTAGATTATCTTTAACGAGAAGTGTTATGTTCCTTTTTTTAGCCCCAGAAAGGAGAATACCGTCGTTGTAACTTGTAATAGGGGGGCCCGGGGTGGGGTGGGGGGGACGGTTACTAGTATGCCCAGTACTTCTGTGACCCCAGGGGAGGGTAGGACTAGGAGTGGTCGACTAAAGATGCATGATGCAATGTAAGGCCATGTTGATTTGATTATATGGATGACATCCTCCGGGAGCCCCAAAACTGATGCGCGCGTGCGAATAAAAAAAAAGTTTTAGACAAAAAAAAAAGTTACTTTTCATTATGAAATGTACGTGGTCATGAGGGTTGAGCAAATGGCACAGAATATGGTTTGGCGAATAATCTAGCCTTCAAGTTTATTTCTTTACAATTTCGTCTTTTTTCGTTTGATTTTGGCATTCTATGACATTGGTATAGTTTTTATTAATTTTTTTGTATTTTATGGTATATTTTTGCTCATTTTGCAACTGTTTTGTACGATTTACAGTATGGTTGAAAACTTTTTTTTTTGGAAACGGCCGAAAATTCATGCGCGCGCGGATGTCATCCATATAATCAAATCAACATGGCCTAACTGATGACTATCAATGTTTATTCTTATACTGCTGCCGGTGATATTAACTATAGGAAAGTATCCATGTACCTTTTCCCTTGTTAAGTCTGGACAGATACTACATGTACAGTGCATTTCAGTAGATCAGTGCTACCCTCCCCTGGGTGTATAGTGAACGAGCCCCGGTGCTCACAGAAAGTTCCATGCAAATCATAAACCTATCAACAAATACCATCATCATCATGGCAATGTATGTTTTCATTGCCAGTCTTGTTATGCGTTTATTGCCCATGAAGATCATGTTGATTATGTTACGAAGTTGATATAGATTTCACAAGCAAGTACAAGCTGTAAGATTTCAACTGATGTGAAAAAATATCTTCCTCACTTCCTCAGAAAGGCCTCAGAAAGGAGAACACCATGTTGAAAGAGAGAAGCCTTTCAGCTGAATAGTCAGTTCAGCACCCAGGACAGTCTGTAGTCATTAACTCACATGTAATAATACCTGGATATAGTTCACTGGACTTGGATCCGGACTTGTAAGAATGTTTAGGTTCAAGTCCAAAAAAACCTAAAAGTCAAGAACCGAGTCCGGACTTATTACCATAAAAGACCATTTCACATACCCCTTTTCTTTCCAAACCACCTAAAACCTTCTGTAGATTGCAAAATGCAAAATGAAGAAAACATTGCCATCGGGCATCGTTAAGTACCAGCCTCCATGTTATGTGGCCAAAGTTTCACCCAGACAACATTGCAAGGTTGCCAACATGCAATTTTGTATATGCCATGGGTTTAGGTCCGGACTTGCAAGTCCGGAACTGATCCTAAACCTTTGGACTTGAATCCGGACCTGAACCTAAAATTGAGTTTAGGTATGCATCACTACCTGGATACAATCTTTTCTCATGTATGTAATTCTGATGTTATCAGGACTTATCAGACATTTTGTAGCCTTCTTTAATATTCGCATTTAATACATGGTTTTGGATACTATCATACAATGATGTCACAAAAAGGATGTTTTATGGCATTATTGCCCCTGTACATCATTACTACTGACATTAAGCCAAACCTGCTGAGGCTACGCAGACCCACCCATCCAAACGGATTTTTCTAGAAAAATAATGGAGCGGGCGGGCGAAAAAAAAACAGGCCTAGGCATCCTATTATGGCCTAAAATGGTACAATAGGAGCCATGAAGTCAACACACCAGGCTGGTTCAAAATTTAAACAATGAATTTTGAACTTTTAATGATACCACTGCATTGAAAGATGGAATAACTGTAACAACTGGGAAGAAAAGGACTTTCTTCAACTGTTCAGGGCAAAATATGAACATTTTGCAGTTGATTCTGAATTTTTTTTTTTGCAAATCAGAAAAAATGAAGCGGGCGAATTCATTAACCAAGAAATTAAATTGGTGTGGCCTTATGCAAGTTATGTATTATATAAGATTATTCACACTCTTACAAAATACATTTTCCTGAGATACTGAATTTTACATTGTTCCTGCAGGACTGGAAGTTTGACCAACATGGCGGCAAGAGCTGAATCTCATCTGGAACAAGAGGAAGGGGAGACTGGACAGGGAGACCAGGATTCTCCATGTACCCACAAGTGTAGCGTGTGTCACAAGGCGTTTCGTTATCAAAGTCAACTAACAAGTCACATGCAGACTCACACCAAAGAGAAACTGTACGGATGTGAGGAATGCGACAAAAGATTCAGTTGGCAGGGTAGCCTAAAGAGACATAGGATGACTCACACCGGTGAGAAACCGTACAGGTGTGATTACTGTGCAAAACAGTTTCGTCAGCCGTCAAATCTAACGGCACACTTGCGGACTCACACAGGGGAGAAGCCGTACCAATGTGAGGAGTGCGGCAGGCGGTTTAGTGAGCTGTCACAAGTAAGGAACCACATGCGGACTCACACGGGTGAGAAACTGTATCAATGTGAGGAATGTAACAGGTGTTTCGGTACGCTGAATAGACTGACGGCACATATCAGAATCCACACCGGTGAGAAACCGTACAAATGTGAGGAGTGTGGCAGGCAGTTCAGTAGGCCCGATCATATCAGGAGACACGAACGGACTCACACAGGGGAGAAACCCTACACGTGTGAACAGTGTGGTAGACAGTTCAACGAGCTGTGTCATCTGAAGAAACACGTAAGGACTCATACCGGTGAGAAACCGTACCAATGTGAGGAGTGCAGCAAACATTTCACTGCGCAGACCGATCTGAAGAGGCACATGAGGACTCACACAGGGGAGAAACCCTACATGTGTGGGGAGTGCGGCAGGCGATTCGGTTGGCTGGATAGTCTGAAATACCATGTACAGACTCACAAGAAGTAGAAACCCTACAGATGTGAGGAGTGTAGAAAGCAGTTCACTACTCTGTGCCATCTCACACCGCAAAAAACTGTAGATATAAAGATACCATCAAGTGGCTCAGTCACGAAAATAGCTAGCAGAAATTATTTGTGGATGTTTGATTCATGGGAAAGGTGAGAGATGCTTAGATATGCTAGATCCAACTATGTTGTTCTTTTACCAATTCGGCCTCATATTTACGGTTTTCTTTCACTCTCTGTATTGTAATTTCTACATTGTAAAATGAAATTGATAGAGAATAGGTCAAAAGACCACTTCATGTTATTCTATATGAATGACTGACTGAATGAATGAATGAATGAATGACTGTTTATTATCGTGCCATTGCGATCAATATGCCGCCCAGCCCATATGGGCTTATAAGGCACCGACAAAATACAAAATCAAAACAAATCAAAAGGTACAGAGAATCAGATGTAACATAAATTATAACTTAACATACTATATAATAAATACAGGAAATTAAGTAGTACTGGTCATATACAGAAATCAAATCAAATGTAACATAGATTATAAATAATAATAATTTAGGTTCAACCAAAATTGATAATGGATAAAAGTAACAAAAGGTAACTGTCAAGTGAATAGCAAAGTTCTTTCTTCACAACCATTTATTTTTCACGAGCCGACGTTTCGATGACTGTCTGTCATCTTCAT